GCTGATGGATTCAGCATCACTGAATTCAGACCCCAGAGACTTCAGTTGTGAGCAGAGAACTGGGCCTGAGCAAGGCTATGGCCCACACAGCACTGCAGACTGAAGGTGAACTGCCTTGGTCATTCCAGGGACCTTCTCTCCTTCCATCCTGAGACACTCTGAACTGTCCTGATAGAAGGGTGAGTCCTGGGAGAGCCAGTCTCTCATAAAGGGTCAGTAGACATAATATGCAATACTTACCTGAATCTCAGTCAGAATGACTATCACCAAGAAATCTGACAGCAAATGCTGGAGAGGACATGGAGAGAAAGGAGCCATTACTTACTCTCGAGTGTGTGTGTGTTTACAAACTAATACAGTCATTGTGGAATCATTTTCAACATTTCCTAAAAAAAAAAAAAAAGTAATCACTTTTTATTTTATTCCTGGCCAGAAGTGTACACCTTACTGGTCAGATATTTATACCCCACGGTTATTCTTAATTTATTCACTAAAACATGGTATTCAATCCATCAACAGATGAGTAGATAATGCAAATTCGGTACACATGCAGAATGGAATACTATTCGGCTCCAAACAGTGTAATAAAAAACTACACATGACAGTGGATGAACTCAGCATGTACAATATTAAAGAAAACCACATTTTTCATATGTAGTCAACAATATATGTACATATGTAAATAGTGTACATACATGCACACTGTAGCGTGACCAAAAGACAAGAAGAAAGCATAAATATTGGGGACAAGGAAGGACTAAGTACAGGTACTGAGTTTAGAAACAGGTTATAAAGCTAATTGTTTTTTAGTTATATATCTGTCATGGATTTTCTTTCTTCCCTTCGTTTTTTTTTTTGCGTGTTGTTTCTGGGAGAATGTATGAATTACATTTTATAATGAATGTGTAAACTCTAACGTGAATCTCCACAAGTTCATAACGGCTACACAAAATAAGTGTATTCACTGAGACATATAGCCTTTGATCTGGTTAATTTCAGAATGTGACTTTTTCTGTAATAAAGTTGAAAAACTAAAACATGACTCCAGCTGAGGGGTCTCTTCTTCCTCACGACTGAGCCCAGCCTGACGACATAGGGAGGAGTTGCCTGCACCTGTGCACAGCAGCTGGTCCTTCCCATTCTCCAGGTGTCTGTGGAGACACTCAATGCCCGTGCCCTCCAGGTAGGTCTTTTCATGCTCTGCAATTTCATTCTGCTCCCACTTGTGCTGCGTGATCTGCGTGATCTGCTGATTTGCCCCGCCAAACACCCTCGGTCCATGTCGTCAGGTCCCCGTTCAGGGCAATGTAATCCTTTCCATCATAGGCGAACTGAAGGTACCCTCGGAGGAGGCATCCATCCGAGCCCACGTGACAGCCACACATACACTGGTAGGTGTGAGAGCCTGTGGAGCGGCCCCACCCACTGTCAGCTCCGCCCACACTCTGATCCAGAGTCTCTGGGGATCCCACATTTCCGGAAGAACCTTGGACTTAAGACCCGGGGTCACTCACCCCCCCCCCTTGCTCTGGTTGTAGTAGCCAAGCAGGGTCTTCAGGTTCACCTTGAAAATCTGCTCCCATCCCTTGACTCTCTTGTGTTCCTCTCCCAATAATCTGGCCCCTCCTCTCCATCTATAGCGCCAGCGGCTCATATCTGGGATTCTCCGTATCGGTGTAGAAGCTCACGAACTGCGAATTGTCCACATAGCCGACTTCCATGAACTGGGTCCCCGAGGCCAGGACGGGACACCGTGGTGTGGAAATACCGCAGGGAGTGCGAGCCTGGGAGCAGTGTGTAGTGAGACCCAGACCTCCTCCCACACTCCCCACAGCGTGTGACCCCGAGAGTCCCTGAGGGATCCTGGCTCCGGACCTCTCCTAGGTCACAGTTCAGTTTTCATCTTGCTGTGTTTTCTCTCAGGAGAGCTGGGGTCTCATGAGATGCGGCTTCCTCATAGGCCAGCTGGAAAGGGCTCAGCTTCCTGCTGACTGTCCCCAGGGTTCCTCTGTCCCTTCTTACCTGTGTTGAGACTGCTGTTGACACATGGACTTCCTTACAGCCAGCCATCTGCAAGGAGGACCGGGTGTGCAACATGCTCACTATCCAATCCCAGATCACAGACCATCAAGCTTCCCTCTATCAGGGGACAGGAGTGAGTCCTGAGCTCCCCAGAGGAGGAATTAATTTCACCTCTTTAAGAGCAGAGCTGAACCCGTGAAAACCCACAATGAAATCCAGTGTTGCCTCAGCATGCTGGGAGTCAGGAATTTTAGCTGTCTTCTTCTTTTAAGACTTTAATAAAAAAAACTTTAGAATTTGGACAACACAGGAAGACTTAAAAAAAAAAGATTTATTCATTATGTATACAACATTCTGCCTTCCTGTATGCCTACAGGCCAGATGAGGGCGCCAGATCTCATTACGGATGGTTGTGAGCCTCCATGTGGTTACTGGGAATTGAACTCAGGACCTCTGGAAGAGCAGTCAGGGCTCTTAACCTTTGAGTTATCTCTCCAGTTGCACAGGAAGAATTCTAAGATTATTTGTTGACAATATCTTTATAATAAAGCTCTTTTTTTATTTAACCCATTTATCATTAATCTTTTGACAGCCATTAGATAAAATGAGCAACACCACCTGCTCAGGATAGTTACATATTCTTGTTTTATAAAGCTATAAACATATATGAGTTAGCAAAGTTCTTGAATGAAGACACATTGCAGAAATTTGACTTACATGTTTCACATTCAGAAATAAAGAAAGGTAGGGAATTCCCAGTAGATCAGCAGCATATTTTTTATTTATTTTTTAATCATATATTTATATTACATACTAACCACAGCCCCCCAGGCTCTCCTTCTGGTTCCTCCCCTTATCTTCCCCAGATCCTCCCTCATCCCCTCCTCTTCTGTTTCCCCCCAGGAAAGGGCAGGTCTGTCATGAATATCACTAAAGCATGGCATATCAAGTTGCAGTAAGACTAAGCACATCCCCATATATTAAGGCTGGGCAAGGCTACTCAGTATGAGGAGTTGGGTTCCAAAAGCCACTAAAAGAGTCAGAGTAGCCCCTCCAGAAGCACATTTAATTTAATTCCTATATGTTGATGTTTAATTATTGCCTGCCATTTAAAAAAGTCTTCTTTTCTTTGCCTTTATGAAAACCCATCTTTGTTTACAAAATATAGTACTTAACTAATTTGGAAATCATTTGTCACAATGATAATGCACATTTATAATGAAATTCTAGCAAAACAAAGTAGTAGGTTGTAAAAATCATGTTATTGCACGTAAAGTTTGTTAAGAAAATTCACCGTTCCCAACAGCACAGTATCTCATGACAGTCTGAGAACATGACTGAAGGTTTATTGAAGACAGAGCAGAATTCACAGGGAGACTGAGGGTGCTCTTGTCATTAAGTGCCTCAAGAAATGATGATATGAACCATTGTAGTGGGACTCCTCAAAACCAAGACTCTTTGGTTTCACAGAATGTCTGCTGATCACTTACTTCACCCCTAACTTAACTCCAGAGAGCTCATTGCAAACATCAGTGTCCTTACAGGACAATTAAAATGAGAGGGGCCAGCAGATTTCATCTCCATTTTCATGGAGAGAAGATAAATCTGTATTTTATAGTTAAAATCAGTGCAAAAGTCAAGCCCTGAAGTATTTTCCACCAAGAGTTCTAATGTTAAAACTCTGTTGTTTTTTTTTTTAAAGAGGAGCGGGTGACTGTGTGGAAATACTTTTGTTTAAGGAATTTGAACCCCTGTACCACTCAGCTCAAGACTGCTGCTGAGCCTTCTACATCTAACATGACCTTCCACTGGAGAGCTCCACTGTGGAGATGATGTCAAAGCTGGAAATGTCTTTAGCAAGTGTTGGTGTGAGAGGAAGAATCCAACACAAAACCACCCTGCAGCTGTTTTCCCTCAGGGCCAGAAACCTGAGATACGATCTTGTGAACCTGCCCTGCCCGTTTCCTGAGTGAGGGTGTGTGGCGTGTTGTGAAGTGGAGCAGAGCAGGACATAGTCCCCACGGGACCTGATCCAAGTAGAGACCTGTGGACCAGTCCCCTCTGCTGATCCTACAGACAGGAGTTGGATTCTGAAAGATGGAGTGGGGGAGAACCTCCAGGCAACAGCTCTGGAAGGAGCAGGAGCTCGGGGGACTGAAGCTCATCTCAGCCCGCAGTCTCCTGAGTGCAGGGGCCTAGCTGGGCCTGGAGGGGACAAGGATGGAAAAGACCTCCTACTGCCACCACTCAGGGACTCCATAGGATACTGAGAAAGGCACCATCTGCAGGAACAAAAATGGGATCAATCCTCCACAATAACTGAAAAGACAAGAATTAAACACAGATGACCAGGTGAAGAGCCACAGCCATGACAGAGCCCAGGCTGACCTGTCACAGCAGCCATGGCTGCTCATAGTCCTGGGGACAGGACAAGGCTCTGGTCATCTCTGTGTCCCTGTGATCAGAGTCTGCCAGAAAGTAGTTACACTAAATGACAAGGACAAAAGAGCCAAGGAGACATCGCTGAGGGGTGAGCACACCAAAGCCACGTGGACTGAGCTCCACCTGTCACAGCCCCATCTCACTCAGCTCCCAAAGACTCCTTCTGTCCCCGCTGACTGTCACCACAGCAGACACAGGTTCTGGAAGGTTCTCCATGATGTCATTTATTTTCTCCATCACACTTTCAGAATTCTCGACTTTAATCTGAACTGCCAATCTCTCAGGTCATAGGCATGAGCCATCAAGAACACATACAGGTTTTTATATTCAGTGCGTAAGTCAAGGGCTGCATCTCATGGTAGCATGGAGTTGATAAGATGGTGATGTCCCTTGCTGCCTGTGCTGGACCAAGAAGTTTGGCTGTGGAAGGGAGCAGGGGCAGTCACCAGTGTGTTCGTGGCTACGGAGCTACCATACTTCACAATGATCCGAAGCTAAGGGCTAAGGATGAAAATAAAGACAAAGACAACAGATCATTCTTACAAGGAGAATGGCGTTTATTATTATGAGGGTAGAGCCTTATCTACCAAAGTCAGGCATGTTGGAAAAACGCCAAGGTCAGAAGCCTACTTTTCCAGGGCCCTCCAGGAAATGGTGGGCCAAAAGCAGGAATTAGCATTTAGATAATAAACAGGAACTTGGACACAGGCCTTACTGGGAGGAGGGGACTAGAAGTGTTTTGCTAAAAGCTCCTAGTAATGAGCAGTCAACAGCCGCCCATGGGGGAAGAGCAGAGCAGCGGCAGGGTCCTGGTGTGCTAGGGAGGACTGGATGGTCTTCATGGGAGAAAGCAGACAGCTTCAGATATTTGTTGTTTCTTGAGTGAGTGAGAACGTGTCCCCAGGAGGCAGCTGTCTGAAGCTAAAGACAAAGAGTGATGGACAGTCGGTATAAAGACATCGCAAAGGTCCACTGTGACTCATTCAAATGTCTAAATTCTGAGAAGTCCTGGGACACAGTCCTTTCCTTTTTCCCTTAGCCCCAACCCCAGACCTCAGGGTGTCAGCCAAGCCTCCAGAGAGGAGTCAAAGCTCAGAAAACTGTCCCTGTGTGTGTGAGAAGAAATGACAAGGAACATGTAGGAGACTGAGAGGATGTGGTTGCAGGAGGAATTTTGGGCTGGCACAGCTCCACACCAGTTTCACCCCACAGGCTTCAGGGACAACCCTGCTCCCCACACTTACCTAGAGCTGGGGGCATAGTTCCCTCCTTTTCCACCTGTGAGAAGAAAAGCTGTGAGAGACCAGGGAGGAGCCCAACCCTAGGAATTTTCCAGACCTACAGAGAACCCATGTTACAGGAGAAATGTGTGTGTGTGTGTTGGATGTGTTTCCATGAGGCAGAGCACACTTCTAAAAGGAACTGGGAACTCACACCCTGCCCTTTCCTACCTAAGTTTTTCCTCCTCTTCCTCACAACAACCACCACAGCTCCAGTGATCACAACTCCAAGGAGAACCCAAACAATGACTGGCATGATGGGGACAGTCGACTGAGGAGGCTCTGGGAAGGGAAGGACAGGAAGGGAAGGTGAGGGTCATGACCCCAGCTCTCAGCCCTGACCTGCTCAGGCTCTGCAGAAGGCTCCAGCTTTCCCTGACCCCAGCTCTGCACCCACTCCCTCCTTACCCCATCTCAGGGTGAGGGGCTCAGGCAGTCCCTCATGCTCCACGTGGCATGTGTAATCCTGTTCTCCAATAGGCACCACCACAGCTGCCCACTTCTGGAAGGTTCCATCCCCTGCAGGTCTGGTCTCCACCATCTCCATGTCCTGGGTCAGTTCCTCTGCATCCTTCTTCCAGGTCAGGGTGATGTCAGCAGGGTAGAATCCCAGGGCCCAGCACCTCAGGGTGACATTACCTTCAGGTCTGGGGTGATGGGTCACATGTGTCTTTGGAGGGTCTGAGGAGAAGAGTTGGAAAGGTCAGGTGTTTTGCAGGGGACTCCAGCAGGGTCCCTGTGACCACCCTGGTCTGTGTTAGAAATGGGGTGAGGGAGGGGTGTAAAATTCCCTCTAGCTTAAACATTGGGTTCTGGATAATCTCATCTTTGGGAAATTCTAGATATGGGTGAGAGAGCCCAGGGTCACAGAACTCTGGTGTCACATCAGGAAGAAGGGACTTCTGCTCCTGACTGGTGAGTGGGGCTGATGGATTCAGCATCACTGAATTCAGACCCCAGAGACCTCAGTTGTGGGCAGAGAACTGGGCCTGAGCAAGGCTGTGGCCCACACAGCACTGCAGACTGAAGGTGAACTGTCTTGGTCATTTCAGGGACCTTCTCTCCTTCCCTCCTGAGACACACTCTGAACTGTCCTGACAGAAGGCTGAGCCCTGGGAGAGCCAGTCTCTCATAAAGGGTCAGGAGACACTATAGAACTTCCCACCTCCCGTATTTGAGAGATAGGAAGACAGGTGGATATTATGTCCAAGGGAGAGACACACAGCGTTTCCCCTAAAGCCAGGAAGGAGACAAGGGTGCACACTCTCCACCTTCATATTTAAGACAATGATGATTTTATATAAGCTATCAGAAGTAGACAGAAGATTGGCATAAAAGGGATCAAAGTAGGACAGGAAGAAGTCACACTGTCCCTATTTCCAGAAAACTGATTCTTTACTTAAATGACCCTGTTGAGTCCCAGGAAAACTCCTGGACCTAATAAACACTCATGGTTGTCAGATGCAACATAAATATAAAAAGTAGCCTCCAATTTTCCCAGCAGTGTATTTTTAGAAGAAGAAATTAGGAAATGTACAACATTCAAAGCAACTCCACCAGAATTAAGTGTTTAGAGAATTATCTAATCAAAGAAATGGAAGAACTCTGCAATGAAAACTTTAAGATCTGACACAGAAAATCATAGAGACAATGTCAGAAGATGGAAAGACAATCCAAGCTCCTGCACTGGCAGAGTTGACATTGTGACAATGGTCATACTACCCAATATTTTGATAGTATAACACTATCAAAATTCTGATGTAGTTCACATTTAGAAAAAAAACAGGAAATCATATGGGATCACAAAAGACCACGAAAATCAAACAATCTGAAGGATTAAGAGCAATGCTGGAGGTTTTACACTCCTAACCTCAACTATAATGCAGAGTTATAGTGACAGGACAGCCTGCATGTATCTAGTGTGCATTTGCTCCTCCCAAGACCTTGGGCTATCTGGAGATAGAGGAGCTCTCTCTGTGGTGTCAGAGATTGGACTGTTATAGATCCATTCACCCCCAGGGCAGAACAGAAGACCATGGCAGCTAGGTACCTTGTTGTGTATTTGTGAGTGTATTCTAATAAATCCTAAATGCCCCCTTAAACTCCTTACATTTGGCCCCCACAGGGCATCTGCCTTCAGCCTCTGCAGCTGTTGGCCAGCTTTCACTGAACCCCAATCGTTCCCAGCTCGGATACCCAGGAGGCAGATCCCCTGCCTGCCCAGGCCCAGACTCCTGGCAGCCTCTTGAGCACCAAGGGAGGCCAGTGGTTAGCTGCAGTCAAGGGACTGCTTGCACTCAGTCTTGAGAATCATGCGACTTACATACCTGGAAGGAACACACCAATGCCTGGGAAGGGAAGGAGATGCAGCCTGGAGAGCAGCAGTTCTGAGGAAGCAGAAATCACAAGCAGAGAAGACAGCACAGAACAGCAAAGAAGATGGAGAAGGAGCAGCAGGGTCTGATGAAGAAGGAGCAAAGCAAAATCAGTGAGAAGGTTTCCCAACACAGCCTCTCAGAGAGTGTGGGGGAGAAGTGTGGGCTGGAAACCTTCAGGGCAAGCACTTGTATGCAGTGAAGAGCATTTTCAGTATGAAAACACACTGCTTCTCATAACGTGTTTATGGGCCATCCAGGAAGCCAGGGTTACCCCACACCACCTGAAAATGTTGGTAATCCAAACTTAAAACACAAAGGCAATGATAAAGCTGTGTTCTTCAACACATTCCAGATATAACACAATTGTTTGGTATAGAGAAGTTCTTTTAGTAGAATACCCCAGACCAGTATCTCTCAGCCTACCAACTCCAGATGAATAATTTTATGGTAGAAGAGGGTGTCAGGCAAATCCCCGCCTGTAAAGGGTGTTGAGGCAGGGGCTGTTGGGCAAAGTGCATGGACTGCAGTCCAGACCACCCCCTTCCCTTCACAGTCATGGTTTCCAAACTCCTGAGCCCTGTCATCCTCAGGCCTCCTGGCTCAGGTAAGTGCACCATATGTGAGGGATCACCCAGAACTTTGGCCTCCAGCATCTATCTCTCCAGAGGCTACTTCTGGCAGGAGAGCCTCAAGGCCAGCAAGGAAGTTGGTGACATGGCTGCAGTAGCTAGAAAAATGCCTTTTGGTTCCAGATCACGTGATCACATGCCTAATGGTGTCAGAACTGGAGACTGGGAGCAACCAACACTGACTACTAGATGACTTCCCAATAATATGGGTTTTCAAAAAATAATATTAATTGAAATGATTATATTTGTTTTTTATAAAGAGAATTTTTGGAGTTCCACTATACAAGCAGTATACTCAATTTGGATAATTCCTTTTTCAGAAGCAAGGCTTCTCTGTGTAACAGCTGTGACTGACCTGGAACTCACTCAGCAGACCAGGCTGGACTCGAACTCACAGAGATCCACTTGCCTCTGCCTCCTGAGTATTGGAATTACCGGTGTGGACCACCACCAAACAGTTTGGATATGCTGCTTTTAAATTAACACCTACCATTAAAATAAGATTTTTCATCTTTCATTCTTTCTTTTCCTGCTTTTATGCAAGTCTGTATTCATTTGTAAAGTGTAATATGTAACTAATGTCACTTAGCTCATGACAGCAGCTAAGCCTTGATTTTTAAATTGAAAGTTCATTCAGTAACAATGTACCTTTTATAATTGGAGTAAAATACTGACATTTAAACAAAGTGTCATTCATGTAAAAGTCATATTGTATCATGTAAAATTTAATTAGAAAATTCATGGTTCCCAACAGGATTGTATCTGCTAAAAAGTTGAGAACATGAATGTAGGTTTAATGAGGGCAGAGCAGAATTCACAGTGTACATGATGACTCTCTTGGTGTTAAGTGTGTTAAGAGCTGATGCTGAGCCAGGTAGTGGAGATGCATGTCTTCAGTCCCAGCAATTGGGAGGCAGAGACAGGTGGATCTCTGTGAGTTCAAGGCCAGCCTGGTCTACACACTGAGTTCCAGGACAGCCAGGACTACACAGAGAAACCTTGTCTCAGAAAAACAAAACAAAACAGAAACCAAAAAGAACTGATGCTATGAACCAACTGTGTGGGATTCCTTATAACCAAGTCTCTTTTGATTTCACAGAATATCTACTGATCACTTAGATCACCAATAATTTAACTGACAGAGACCTCACTGCAAACACTAGTGTCCCAACAGGTCAATTAAAATGAGAAGGGCCAGCAGGTGTCATCTCCATTGTTATGAGCAGAAGATCAGTCTGTATTATACTGTTAAAATCAGTGCAAAAGGCAAGCCCTGAAGTATTTCTCCCCAAGGGAAAAGTTGTAAAGTGAACACTCTCTTTAAAAGGAAGGAGGGGTGGCAGTGTGTGGAAGGATTCTTACTTAGGGAATATGAGCTCCTGCACCACTTAGCTCATGACAGCAGCTGAGCCTTCTACTCTGATGCTACCTGGAGAGCCCCACTGTGAACTGGGGTGTCCAGGCTGGAGTGACATTGTCAAGTGATGGTGTGAGAGGAAGAACTCAGCACAGTCACTGCATCTCTGGGCCCAGCCAGATGCTTGCCCTGAGGACCACAAGATGCTGCAGGAAAAGGAGAAGACAGGAACCAACAATGTGTGTGTTGGGGTTGCAGGTTCGACATCTGTTGTAGCTATGGGTGACAACTGACACTGTGGACCTCCATGCTGTGATGAGACCTGGGGAGCCTGGGTGTGGCTGGCATAGAGGATGAAGGCTGACACTGTGGACCTCCATGCTGTGATGAGACCTGGGGAGCCTGCTGTGTGGCCAGCATAGTAGGTGAAGGCTGACACAGACACAGGAGAGAGTGAGTGTGAGGCCATTGCAGGACAGCATGGCTGATGCTTCTCCTTTGCAGCCCTTGAGGTGGCACCTTCCCTGAGCCCTGCTGCTGTGCTCCAGGCTTCACAGGCTGTGCAGAGCCCTCTGTGAAGTCTGATTCTCTCCTGGGTCCCCTGGTCTCAGTCCTCAGGTCTCCAACAATGATGTGTCCCAGATTTTAAAAATGTTGTTCTGTTAAATGTACCAAATTCTTTTCCTGAATGCAGTGTTTGTATTGTTTCTCCTTGGGCAAAGTCCCTGACCAGATACCTACCCTGGATCACCCCTGTTCCTTAGGGAGACACAGGCACAGTTGCTCTGGTTGCTGTCTCCACCCTGCAGCTTCAGTTATAGGCTTCCTCCTTCCCACTGACTATCCTGTACCTTGTCGGCTTCCCAGGCCTCAGTAAAATGGAAAATTGTTCTTTGCTGTCTCTCTGTGTGTGCCTGTGTGTGTGTGCACGCCCCTGTGTGTGTGTGTGTGTGTGTGTGTGTGCCCCCGTGTGTATGTGTGTGTGTACAAGCATGGGGATCAGTGTGCTCCCACACTCTTTCAGTATATCCAGTGTGGATCCTTTTGGATAAAAAAGACCCCTAGATTAAAAGACTCTTACATGCAGGACAAATGTGTACTTTTAATACAAAGATGGGGTTCTCATACTTGGGGTTCTAAGACACCACAGGCACTTCAGGAAGCTGTGTAGGGCTCACCACCCACAGGGCTGTTAATTTGTTGGGTCTATTTATTCTTTTCAATGAATCCACTTAGGATGAGGGGATGTAGTGTCTGTCCTCTCTTACCTGATGCCTGGAGGCCCTGCACAGGCTGGCAGTCCCCATGTGTGGATTCAGACTGTCACTGAGACCCTGAGTCCATGGGGTAGACAATTATTTTTGGTCACCTTGTGGTGGTGCAAGTATACAAACCTCATAGTTGTGTACTATTCAAGCAAACAAGATTCCAGTGACTGCCCATTGAGAGATGTTTTTTTCTCTATAGTAAGATCTGTCCAGAGTGAAGTCTTGTTTTCTTGTTTTGTTGCTTGAGACAGGATCTCTCTACATGGTCAGGAATTTCTGAAACTCACAGAGATCCTCTTGCCTCTGGCTCCCAAGTGCTGGGATTGAAAGTGTGTCACCATGATGTGGCATCCAGAATGAACTCCTGGTAATATAAAGACCTCTCAAAGCCCCTCCAGTCACTGAACTTTCTAAGTCCCAGAAGCCCTGAGACTCAGTCCTTTCCTCCTTGCCTCAGCTCCAATCCAGGCCCCCAGGTGTCACCTTTTCAAGCCTCCAGACACAAGTCAGAGCTCTGGGCACCGACCATGCCTGCAGAAGAAGTAACTAGAAACAGTGAGGACACTGACAGGTGTGGCTGGAGGAGAAACCATCAGCTCAGCCTCCACCCCAAGTTCCTCTGGGACAATTCTTCCCTCACATACTGACCTGCAGCAGGGGCATAGCCTCCTTTTCCACCTCTGAGAAGAAAGCAGTGAGAGATCAGGGAAGTCCTGGTCCCCAGCAAGTTTCCCAGCTGTGACTGCCGACCAGGGAGGGTCAGGGGGGAATGAGGAAGGAAGAAGGCATGCAGGGAAGAACCAATGGCAGTCTGGAGGTCTGTCCTCAGCGGGAACATCCCTCTGTCTCTGAAATCGTGTTCCCATCACCCCCATCATCAGGGTATGGACATTTCCTTTCTTTCCCAAGTACTTTAGAGTAGATGATTATCAATGTACAGACCCAGAGATGGGCATGCCTGTGCTAATGTGTGTGTGTGTGTGTGTGTGTGCGTGTGTGTATTGCTTCCCATTGACTATGTATGCATCCTTCATGAATTAAAATGAAAACAACAACAAACACAAGACCCTGCTCTTCCATACCTGGGTTCTTTCTCACCCACAGCATAAATCCTACAGTGATACAACTAAGATCACAGCTCCAAGGACAGCACCAACAATGGTCCCTATGGTGATGATGGACTGAGGAGGCTCTGGGGGTGAAGGGAAAGGAAGGGAAGGTGAGAGTCACGGCTCAGTCATGGAGCCTGCCCCTGCCCAGGATCTGCAGAGGCTTCATCTTTCCTCACCCTATCTCTGCACCCACTCCCTCCTTACCCCATCTCAGGGTGAGGGCTCAGGCAGTCCTGAGCATAGTCCCCTCCTTGTCCACCTGTGAGAAGAAAATCTGTGAGAGACCAGGGAGGAGCCCAACCCTAGGAAGTTTCTGAACCAACAACAGACCCAGGGTGAAGAGAGGAGCAATAGAGGTGTGGATGTTTCCATGAGCAGAGCACTTCTAAAAGGGGCTGAGAGAGAACTCACACCCTGCCCTTTCCTACCTGTGTTTCTCCTCCTCTTCCTCACAACAGCCACCACAGCTCCAGTGATCACAGCTCCAAGGAGAACCAGAACAGCAATGACTGCCATGATGGGGGCAGTGGACTGAGGAGGCTCTGGGAAGGGAAGGACAGAGAGGGAAGGTGAGGGTCATGACCCCATCTCTCAGCCCTGACCCTGCTCAGGCTCTGCAGAAGGCTCCATCTTTCTCTAACCCCAGCTCTGCACCCACTCCCTCCTTACCCCATCTCAGGGTGAGGGGCTCAGGCAGCCCCTCATGGTGCACATGGCATGTGTATCTCTGCTCCTCTCCAATAGGCACATCCACAGCTGCCCACTTCTGGAAGGTTCCATCCCCTGCAGGTCTGGTCTCCACCAGCTCCATGTCCTGGGTCAGTTCTTCCTCATCCTTCTTCCAGGTCAGGGTGATGTTAGCAGGGTAGAAGCCCAGGGCCCAGCACCTCAGGATGACTTTACCATCAGGTCTGGGGTGATGGGTCACATGTGTCTTTGGAGGGTCTGAGGAGAAGAGTTGGGAAAGTTGAGGTGTTTTGCTAGTGAATCCATAGAAGACATTGTCAGAATGTGGAAAGACAATCCTTGCTCCTGGACTGACAGAGTTAATATTGGGAAAATTGCCATACAAATTAATACATTGATATAATCTGCAATATTTATAAAACTCTGATATATTCTATACTTTAGAATTAATGAATTTGTATGGAATGACAACAGACCATAAACAGCCAAACAATGTTAAGTTGGTGCACTGCCAACCTCAGTGCAGAGCTACAGTAACAAGACAGCATGGAACTGCAATAAAATAGAAAAATCCAAGGCATAGGATAGTGCTCCTGGAAATAAAATGACAAAGCTACGCATATTTAATCTTCAACAAAGAACACAAAACACATAATCGAAAAGAGCCCATTCCACACATGATGCGGCAACACTGTTTTTCTGGCTGAGAAGATGAATTTAGAATCTCACCTCCCACCTTGTAGAAAATTTAACTTGAAATAGAGCAAAGACCTTA